GCTGAAGCAATAACTAATGTCTGCTGTCACAATAGGAAGATTTATCAGCACAAAAACAGAGCTTTGTACAAGCAAAGGCTGAGCAGGATTGGCAGGAATGATAAGACAACCAGGACAGACCAGCAGAACCTGTACGTGCTTGACCCTGAAGCCCTAACTTCACCACATCTGAGGTTTTACAAATGACAGTCTTAATGTAACCACAAGAGTTTTAAAAGCTTAAGGATTATACAGATGTGATCTACAAGCCAGCAGTGAACGAGTGGGCATTTCGAGATGTTAATGTTTGGGTGTACAATTCTTGTCCAGTTTCAGTAGCTGTACTTCTGAGAGGATCCCTATACATTAAAGTCTTAAGCTGGAGCACAATTTAAGGCAAAAAAAAAAAAAAAACCACCCCACAAAAACCAAACACTTCATAAAAAGACCTTAACTGGGAGCAGAGCAGCTGTAACTGAATCAGCTGCCCTGTCTCCCAAGTGGAGTCATGGTCCCAGTTTCACTGCCTGCATTAAGACTCTGCTGAGTCACCACAGAGCAGATTCTGAAGTTCACCTTCTGCGAACAGCCACAGACCTTTAACTGCATCACAAGCCTTCTTATGGCACTGGCAGTTGTCAACTGATTTCTCCAAGGATATAAAAAGCAGTTCCAATTCCCACAGAACACAGTGAAAAAGCTTGTAAATAAACAATTTCCACCCATACCAACAGATTACAACTCCATTGCGTTTAGAGAGTCCACTTGCAGCACATACAAAGCTGTTTCCTCCCCACCAGTGTTTGTATCTGAGCTGAGTCCTTACAGTTAACAGGAAAGATGGGGATAAAGCAAATAAATTACAGCACCAGACTCAGCATCAAGCAGTTTTAGCATACAGCACTCAGGGCATGCAACTCTCAGCTGCATAAACTGAATAGCTCCTTGCAAGACTAATCACACAACAGGAAAAGCTTACTCTTGTGCTGCAGGAGTTTATAATCTCTGTATAACAAACATAATTAGAAGTATTACCTTAAGAGGAAGTTAGTTATTTGTCTGCAGAAATTCCTCTGAGGCTTTTACAGGAGTTACCTTTGCTCTCTCCAGCACATACATCCACTATTTTAGGATCTTAAGCTGCCACCTTGACTTTATAAATCCAATTGAAAGATATCATACACATTTGATAAAGTCAGAGACCCAATCCCATCAGAAGGCGTTTTACAAGTGCAAGGAACACTTCTGGATCTCAATACTGGAAGTTCTCAGAGAGCAAACGAAGCTGTCTTACCGATTTCTATGGAATGGGCGACCTATACTCAACGAAGCAGCATTTGTTTTATATGATCCTGGTGTATTAAAGCCATTCACAAATCCACCATTAGGAAAGGGGGCCTGCAACACACACACAACAACTCAGTGGCTGAACTAAAAGGAAAACGTTTGCAGTTTCATGAGATCAGCTTCAGCAGTTACTCATCTAGTCTGTACTTTCACATGGGCTGCTGCATCTAGCATGTTGTGAAGTGAAAACCCCACAAGGTTAAGAGGCTGCACATCAGCATCAGACTCCTGCTGCTTTGTAGCTTTCCCAGTAACACCAGCTACTGGATAATGGAATTTCAAACCAAAATTCATTGAAATAACTGACAGCCCATGGGGAGCCCTGCAGCCTCTCTGAGAGTGTTGCTTTAGCAGGTACATCCCTGGCAGTGTTCAAGGCCAGGTTGGACACAGGGGCTTGGAGCAACCTGCTCTAGTGAAAGGTGTCCCTGCCCGTGGCAGGGGTTGGGACTGGATGATCTTAAGGTCGTTTCCAACCCAAACCAGTCTGGGATTCTATGATGCAACATGAAGTATCATAAAACAGAGGGATCTGACTAGAAAACCTGTGCATTCTACAGCTGAGAAGCCCACTAACCCTTCTGCTCTGTTAACCAAAATGATTCCTGATGTTTGGGGTGAGCTCCTCACATTTTCATCCGCTGTTACTCACCAGTGGTGTTTCAAAGTAAGGTGCAGGATTTGGAGACCAAGTCTGAGGCACAATGCTGTAAATAGAGTACTGCTGAGGACTATATACAGGCTGCATAAACAGTGGTGAGGCAAACTGTGCTTGTGTTTGAACTGGCTGAGTGTAGACACTGGAATCCACCACCCGGTAACCATTCTTAGCAAAAAAGGTGTTGATGGCTTTTATCCTTGCCTGCAAGATAGCAAATCACATCACATGGTTGGGAGAAAAGGAGAAGCAGAGCATGAAATCCTACTGGCCTACTGGAATTCTAACAGGGGATGCTAAGAGGAAGTAGGTTGATTTAGTGCTTATGAATAAACACTCTGATAAAATCAATACAGATTACATTTTACAGCGTGCTAAAGGGAAGGACACACTTTAGGTAGAAAATCTGTCAAGTTTAAGACAAACACTGTTTTTTATAGCAGTTAACTGTCCAGGCTCCAATTCTGACAGTTCCTCTCACAGTACAAACAGCTCACTTCAGCCTTATTTGTAGAGCTAAGTCAGGCTAGAGACTCATGAGGGCAAGGGACCCTCTCCTGAGCTCTGCAGACCCAGATTCTGGGCAGCGTGAAGGGAAGATGAAACAGGAATGTATTTCACACCTCATGGGAAGCAGCACTGGGAATAACCAGCAGCCACACGACTGTCGTTTCTCAGAGCCCCCCATGACCTCATTCAAGTTCACAGCCAACAGAGCAAGTAGTATGAACCATCCCACGAATTCCTCAGTGTCATAACACCCCCCCCATGCACATTATCATCCAAATACAAACAATATACAATGCAATTCAAACTGAAACCTCATATAGTGCAGCCTTACCATTACTGGCTTGCCCTGAAAGGTTTTGACTTCTTCCCTTAAGTATTTAAATGCCTGCAGATATAAAAGAGATTAGATACCTTGATAAAATCGTACTTCTCCAAGGATACTCCATGATTAACACAAACATGTAGCAATGCACTACCCCGCTAGCCCAGCTAAATACATTAGCACTTCAAATTCAGGACACTGGGTGTCAGTTATGGTCACAGAGCACTGAGGCAAGAGGCAGACAAGGGAGTTATAACCCCACAGACTTTCAACTTTCTTCTCTATTGACTAGAATTTGCCAATAACCTCTTAAAAGAGGGGTCAGCAAATACACATTTATTTCAGGCACAAGAAGCACACATGCAATTCTCCTCAGCAGGAGAAGTATTAATAACAAAATTGAGATGTCATTAAGAGCTGAAGGCAGCCTTACCTGTTGGGCATCTGTATCCGACTGGAATGTAACGTACCAGTTGTTGTTGTGAGCAAACTCACAGCTTATCACTTTGGGGCAGTTCTCATTTTTAAACAGAGCTTTAACTTCCTAAGGGAGAGAAGGCAGGCAATTAAGGGGACCCAGCTCTAAGGTGTAAATTGAGCACTAAACCAACAGGAGTTTACACTCCAGCTCCTCAGCTGCAATTCTCCCTTGACCACAGATGTTCTTTCATTCCCTCAAGGTGTGCCACACACAAAACTATCCCCTATACCTGTTCCTGAACCCAAGAACGCTAGTTCAGCCTGTTGAGCACCCCAAAAAAAAGCAGCAGGCCCACGTGGGAAGAAACCCAAGCTCAGTGTAGAACTGGTGATATTTCTCTATGAAAGAGGTGGCTTTAGCTCAGGAGAGACATCTAGACAAGAATGATTCTAGCAAATATTTCTAAGTGAAAGTACCCTGACAGCTTTGCAATAATCAGATTTTAAAGAGAGGGCAAAGCAGCTGTTCAGCATTTGAATTAAAAGAACTTATTAAAAATGCTGGTAGACAAACACCCTGTGTTACAACTTGAGAAAACAAAGAACTAAATCCTTCTGTTCGCCAAATATCAGTAGGAATTTTATTATCCTCCCTTCCCTGACCATAATGAGCTCAGCTCACACTGGGTCACAATGAATGAGAAATGTTTAGTAACATTTCTTGCTGCCAAAACAACCGTCTGACTTCAAGTGAAGTTACTGCTGTGACAAAAATTCAGCCTGAATTCCAAGCTATGCCCTGAACTGGTTTTATTTCGGGATCTGAAAAGAAACCAGTTCAAACTTCCTTCCCAAAAAGCCCAGCTAGCTCAGGTTTGGGGGTGGGGAAGTTTACTTGAGAGCATTTTAATGTATCACTAAATAAGGGGAAGGGACAACAATGTTTTTGCTTTGGCTCCTTTAAAAGACAAGACAGCCAGGCAGAAAAGATTATGTGATTGACAAGAAAAGTATCAGTGTTTAATCAAATTAAATGCAAGCTGACCTTTGAAGCAACACTTCCTGTTGCTGTCTGAAGCACTGTTGAAGGTACCTTCCAAACCCACCAACAGGCTTTTCTTTCTTTTCTAGTTATTTACCTCTATAGGTGTTGTTTCAGGGATCTCCCGGAGAATGATAATACATCGCTTGTGGTTTGGTCTTACTTTCTCCCCTCTCTCATCCACTTGTACCATAGGAGAAGCTAGAATTAAAACAGAAACTTGGCTTAATACTGGACATTGTGCACTGCAAAACACCTCAGCAGTAACAGACTCCATTAGCAAACTTGGAACAAAGAGCTGCTTAAGAATCCAGATTTCTGGAATTGAGGGTAAAGGACTGTTTGATCAGCTAGAGCCTGTTAGATCTTCAGCACAGTTTAGTGTTTATCTGATGTTGCCTCCATCTACGGTTTAACTATCTTTTAAAAAGCTCAGTCCTAAGTTCAATTCACTCCCAGCTCAAGTTCAAGTCAGAGGATATAAAATCATTCCTAGACAAAGCCCTGACAGGGAAAGTTCAAGTGGGGAAATCGAGTCAGAATAAAGACTTTGAAAGTTCACTTACAACTGTTTCCTGAAGCCATGTGCAGACAGGGCACGTCACAGGAATTCTAACCAGCTTTTCCTAATAAGCCTTTTCTAGTTTTATCACCTCTAGTAAACTTTTGCACTGAATCAAAGACCAGGTTCACTCCCAGAGTAAGACTTCCCCTGCTTGCAATACCTTTGTGGAGCCTTTTATTGGGCCAGACTCAAACAGTTGATTATAAAGCAAAAGGAGAACAGCTACGTACTCGAATGTATGCTCAGAGGCTAATGCATTTCCCTAAAGCAAGGAAGAATTCTTTCTTCTATGGACACCAAACGGCCACACTTACATCTCAAAACTTCAAGGATGAGGTCCATATCAGTTGTCAGCTTCTTAATACCTTCCATGTTGGCAATTGTCCATATTGGAACAAACTGGTCACTATCCATTTGAGACATCAAGTAGAGATCCTTTGAAAGATTCTCCCTAAAAGGACACAAGTTCACTAGTTTATGAAAATGCTGAACTTTCCTTACAGAAGGCCCAAACCAACAGGGTAACTACAGGCCTAAACATTCACCAGTACCATCCACACCTATCTCTAGCCAGGAATGTACCCAGCAAGGAAATCCTGGCAGATCAACACAAAGCAGAGCAAGGTAATTCAAACACTTAATGGAAGTTGCAGTGCTCTGCATGCTGGTCTGCCAAAAGGATCTTGCCAGAGACCTCTTCTGGTAACACACAGCTCAATTATCTCAGCATCTGACAAGTGTGAGCTGTAAGCACAGAAATCCTCTCAATTCTCATTACAGGACAAGGATGAACGGATGGGACTGAACAGCTAAAAGGTACCACAGGGTTTCTGCAGCAAATCTTGAGTCACATCACAACCACCTCTCACTCACTGTTAGCATTTTATAAAGGTAACAGCACATCTCAAGCCAAAAATACCCCAACTGTTAATGATTTTAATAAAGGGTTTATACAAAGCTGGGTTAATTGCACCGTACCGTGAGAAGCAGAATTCGAGTTGCTTTTTCAAACATTCTCTAATGTCTTCTGTGGACACAGTGGAGCTGCCTTCACCTAAAAGTTACCACATTGACCATCAGTTCCAGTTTCATGGTAAGAACACGACGCAAGAACATGTTTCAATGTACACTGAAAGAAGGAATCCCTTTGGGTAAGACCAAGAGGAAAAGGTCATCTGAGACATGCTCATAGAGCATCACACTACATGTCCCCAAATGACTTAGATCCCAGTTTTCACCTACTTGGCCAAGTGCTATGGATCTTCTTGAACACAGATCGTTCCTACTCAGTCACATCATGACTGCAGCAGACTTCAGAGGATTACAGGTACTGACAGAGGTATTTAACTCAGATACTCACCAGACACTTCATAGATTTGGTATCCAAGATCTTCAGTCGCCAGGACAATTCCATTTGCAGATGCTTCATCGACTCCTGTCCCATTTCTTGTGGCCTCACAAGACGGGGAATACATCACTTCATATTGCTTGCAGCTATCCTCTGCAATCTCTATGTTACCTGGCAGGGGAACAGCCAGCAACAGAAAACCTACTGTGAGCATCAGGATATTCTCTGAATATTGAAAATATTCAGAATATTGAACAATTTTGGCTACCAACATTAAAACAAATACTCCAGAATGCTGAGACTGAAATACCTGGACTTCATCTGTCTTAGACTTCAATAGCACTTTCTGCCTCTTCAATTTCAGAAAGCTCTTCTGGGTTGCACTCAGCGGTAAGTAATAAATAGGATTGTGAATTTATAAGGTCCTCAAAAGCGGCAGAGTCTCTAAAAATCAGGTTTCCGCCTGAAACTTGGGATATTTAAATGAGGTTCCTAAACCTAAAGCACTAAAGTAGCTTATCATCAATGCATTACATGATTCTTATTTACAAAAAGGACCCAGGAGCATCTAGTGGTTGTTATAACACACACTGAAACCAGCCAATCTCTTCAGGACACCTCAGCTTAGCCTTCACCACAGCTGCTCAAGATAAAAACAAGCACAATTTCAGTGTAATCCAGCAGTCAGGCAAAGGAGGGTGTTCCAAGAAAATCAACTCCTCTGCTGGATCTTTTCCACACTCACAATGAATTCACACTTCGGAGAAGAGATACTATTCAACTACTTACAATAGAAATTGCTTAAAGCAAGAATGCTGTCTCTGGAGTTTCTGTCACAAACTAAATTCTCTCTTCACTTCTGCTGACGTACCAGAAGGGCCACACAAACTGAATCCTCACTTCTTTACTCCTAACTTTTCCTACACCTTCTTCCAGGCAATCTTCTGCTTCCTGCTTAACAGGCCTCTGCTGTATTCTGAGCAACCTCAGCTATGCAACTGGCTTCAGATCAAGTCCAAGCCAAATCAGAAGAGTTAAACCATTTGAATATTTAGTTCTGGACAACCATGTGGGAAGGATGGAAAACACGGACTGAAATGGGATCAGACTAAACAGAAAGGTGGTAACACAGATGCTTTGCAGTTCCTACTCCAGCACAACGCTCCTGTCTAACAGCTCTTGGTGCCACCTCAGTGATCTACCAGGATCATAGGTGCCCTCAGATCTTATTTTCCCATTCACAGGGTGAAGTGTATACTAAAGTGCAGCAGCCATGAAACCATTTCTACACACTTAGCATCTTGTCTCCCTCTTAGCGCGTTACTCAGTCATCACTGGGCCCTTGGATCCTGGTACCTGCCCAGGTATTCTGTGCTAGCACAGCTCTGGACACCTTCTTGACCCTAAACCAGAGGTGGTTTAGGAATTCTGGCCAGGCCTATTATGTCTATAAACTGCCTACTGCTTTCTCATGTTTATTCCACGCTTGTCACTCCATCAGCACTAACAGCTTCAAGGACAAGAGCCAGAGGTTGCTTCTCAGTGCAGAAGCTCCTCCAGAGAACAGTGCTACCCAGCAAGGGACAGAGGCCGGGCTGTGCCATCTCACCCTCAGCAGGAGTCCCCTGCGCAGCCGCTGTTTCTTGCCACGAGTGCTCTGCGCCATTCGTTGGTGGCACAGCCTCCCCACTCCCCTGGGACACTTCTTGCCACACTTTGGCGTTAGGGTTTAAGCCAGCGCCCTTCGATGGTACCTGCTGGAGAGACCAGAACACTTGCATTAGGAGAAAAATCCCACGCTGCTTTCGAAGTCAAGCCAGACAATATAGGTGAATTTAGTGATTTTCTTTTTTTCTCTCTAGAGTTCCACATCTCAAGTGTCCAACCAGCTATTAAGCACCTATGTGATTTTTTTTTTTTATTAATCAAAACAGGAAAATCCTTGGTGTTTTCCAAGTATTTCGTTTCTACCTCCATGAGAAGTGTTGCCTTCAACCTCTCTTTATTGACATCCGACAAGAGCAGCAGAGGCAGCAGCTAGCCGTCAAGGACTCTGGGAACTCACAAGCTTTTAAAGACTTGACTGTCATAATGCTCCAGTCCCCTTTCACCAGAGAGGGAAATTTTCCCTCCTCCAGACCCCTTCCTAGAAAGGATGGTAAAAAAACACATGTCAAGGAGAAGAAACTGATGACTTAGTGATATCTATACTAACCAAGCATCGCCTGTGCTATGGCAGGATTCCTCACGAACTTATCCAAGTACTCTCCCGCTTCCCCATGAGTTTACCTAAATCTTGCACACATCAATGGATTTAGTAACAATTTCCACACTAATAGTTTCCTTAAACTTGTAGCCAAGGAGAATGAGATGTCTGAAGTGTTGGGATACACACACAGCATCCCAGGCTGCTGAGGGGGGGACTGTCTCACTTTGAGACTGGGCAGCAAGGTCCATAGTTAGTGTAAGAGGGAAAACAATGAGACAAACAAGAGAAACTGCTGGATTCCAACCTGGAATCTGACACAGATAAACATTCCCATGGCAAAACACGGTGCTCTTCAAGGTGCCTTTCCGAGAGCTGCTCAGCAGCTCAAGGCCTTTGGGTAAGGAGTCCAACAATCCAGCAGCAGCACAGAGGATAAGCACTGTAATGGCTTTTGCTCTACCACGAGAAAACAAACTCCTTCCACATAAACAAGAAATTCTGCTTTTGCAAGAATTCTTCTCCCAAGAATTCCACACACACGACAAGCACTAATGTTTGCTCCAAACAGGTTCCCTCGGGCATCAGAGGGCAGCCAACTGCACTCACACCACTGGCTTGACTTTAAAAGGCGAAAGCCATTCATCCCAGCTCCTGTCTCACAAATTCACATATGAGCAAATCTGATATTTAATAGACCAGCCTCTGAATTCTGAAATTAAGGAGTGGCTTACTACAGGCCTCAAACATAAAGCAAAAGGATAAGGAAGCAGTTGCAATAGCTTTAGAGATAATTCCTCTACCAAGGTCACGCCTAGTGCCAAAGCTGTTTGCTACAAGGACAAGCCCAGATGCAGCAACAAAAAGCCTCCAAACACCAGAGAGGTTCAAGACAATCATGAGAAAAGGCAAAACAAAGAGCACAATTTTTGCAAGGCCCTGTCTGGGATTCAAAATTCCCCAGGCACAACTGATTGAATCCACACAGCAATGGAGCTTTCCCACTTTCATTAATCTTGGCAGAGGAATATCACTGGAAACAGAAAGAACTAGAAGTGGTTCAGTGTGAGGAGACACATGGACATCTCCCTTCTATTTCAGAGTAGCCATTCTCCAACAAAACAACCTTAGAAGGAAGACCCAGTGACCTGTTGCACCCACTTGCTCCAGAACCAAGAACCAGCACATCCCATTTCCTTGAACTTACTTTTCATCGAAGCAAAAAAGACAAGACACAACCAGGAGATGATTCATTATTCTATTAAAACAAACTTACTCACTGCCTTTGAGGTCAGGATTTAGCTTATGCTGAAAGTAATTTTAAGGACTAAGTATGACAAAGTGAAACTTAAGATACTTCAAGGAGCTCAGTACGCTTGTGGAGGTGATCAGAAGTAAAAAGGAACTCTGAGTATGGCAGATAATGTTACTCCCTTCGGCAAACACCAGAAGACACACGTGGTGATATGGCAGTTCAGAAATCACAGGTCCGTGCGAAAAGCACTGAGAAACTAAATTGATTCCAGGCTGATAGAGTGATGAATGGAGCCATGAATACAAAGGAACACACCTGGAACAGAGCGTGGGCTGCTTCCTCTTTGTTCTAGAAACAAACACTTCATGCCATGCACTGCAATTCAGCAAGCCCCAGCCCTGATGTCACGTACCCTCATAGCAAGACATCGTGGACTAAATGATCTTAAGGTCTTTTCCAGCCCTAACTAGTCCATGATCCCGTGACTCGGAGAGGATAAGAAGTCTCTCCTTTCCATCAGCCTGGTGAAAGTACAGTGTGCTGTGCCCCAGGAGCAGCTCCGCTTCGCTCCATGAGCGGCCCTTCTGAAGAGGAGGCCAAAATCTCAATTCTTGCTTATTTAACTGAGGCCAACAAACACTGAGCCTGTTTGATTGGCTGCAGAACAACCCTCCCAGCAGCTATCGGGAACTTTCATGATGAGGTTAAAGCTTTCCAGGGTTACAAAGGTTAGGAACACTCGTTGGTGTCCACAAGCTGACAAAGCTGTCCTCCGCAGCAGAGCTGCCCTCCGGTTTATGTTCCTTTTGGCAAGCATGGATCAAAGATTCTCCTCCAGCAGTTCCTCAAAACAGACTATAAAGCATCTATCTCATTGTGAAAGGATGGCAAGGAGCAGTTTTCTTACTGTAAGTCTAAATTACATTTAACTGATTCAATTAACACAACAAAAATGGAAACGTGGAGTTTCTTTTAAAGCATTCTATTTAAATATCAAATTATCCTGCCCAGAGCTTGTGACAGATTTCCCAGAGCAAACCAGGGAATCCAAGGGAAAAATCTAGAAGAGAATTTAATAAACTCATAAGGTGAGAATCTAAGGATTTTCCAGAAGTGGAAATGTAAGCAGAGGGAAAAAAACCACCCCAAGGTCAGCAAACCCATGGCAAAGAGAAGCCTTGAGCTGGTGGGGGATGTGACAGGTAGGGAAATGTGTGGCCAAGGCGGACTCGGACACATGCCAGTTACCTGTCACCTTCCCAGAGCTCACCCAGGCTGTGAGGCAAACCAAGAGAGAGAAAGCTGGTGTCAGACCAAAAGCAACACGAACAATTCCTCTGGAGCTGACCACAGGGTATCAGGTAACAACAGTTGAGCCCTCAGAAGGTCCCAGGTAATTCTTAAAACACACATTAACTTTAACGGCTACAAGAGAGTTAATTCCACTGAACTCAGTGTGGTTTTGTCATCTGCACCCCACAACTGAGGGTGTCTCCTTTCCCCCTCGGTCAAGCAACCCCAGTTCTGCTGTAGGAGGATGGTACCTGTGTCAATGGTGACCATCCCTCCTGCATGAACAGGGCCAGCTTGGGGGGTTAGTCACCTAGAAGGAAGCTAGAAGCCTCAGCTACTAAAAAACAGAGCCAGCAACACCCAGTGCCTCCCACAGGCCTCGTTTTCCAGCTAGGAAACATCACTGGCAACAATTAGAGCAGCGTTTCACCCACCTGAAAAGCAGACATTTTAATTTGCCCAATAAATTACTAATATATTGAATTCGGAACAGGTACCAACTAACCACAGCCTAAAGAAGGCCCAGCCAGCCATTATCAATTCCATTTTTCACAATGCATTTCATGATATTCCCAATGCACCTGAATTATGGATTGTCACTCCTGGCTGGAAGTGAGAAACAAGACCTACGCCAAACGTTAGGGCATGAAGAACGGTGTGAGCCTCCCACCAGCCCCTCACTGCAGCAAGTGTTTTATGCCAAGGGATACGTTCCTTTGTGCTAAAGGAAAACAAAACTCCCCCATGGAAGGATGGATTCACAATCACCATGTGCAAAATATAACACCGATAAAGGAAGTCAAAGAATCCTCCTGAAAGCTTCAGGGTTTCCAACACAGGCCCCAGTGATGCCAAGAGGAAAGCTGCAGCATCCAACTCCAGTGCTTCAGAGTACCTGGTTAAGAACTCAAGTTCCCTGCCCTGGCAGTGCAAGGCACCTTCAGAAAGTGTGAATTCTCCTCAAGAGCTCAAAATTAAACCTTATGGATTCTTCCCTGAATGCAGGTCACAAAAACTAACTTGCAACGCTATCAGCACAAGAAAAAGAACATCGAAAAAGCACCCAGTGTCAAGTTTGTGCTCTGAAAGGATTCACTGAACACGCAGACATGAGCTGCCTGGTTTGCTCCAGCTCCCTTTGAGCCCCATCTGAGCCTCATCCAACTCGTGTCACTGCTGTGGTTCGAGAACCCGCTGCTCAAGGGGCCACCTCAGCTCTGCTCCACCGTGGCTGAGGTTGGCTGCTCGCAGCTCCTCAAGTTAAAGACTGTGAAGCCAAATCCTGTTATGCTGCTGCGCTCATTATGGGTTTTCTTCCCTCTCAATACAAACCCAGTAACGTTCAGAACATTCTGAACAAGTTCAGAACGAAATCAATTAGTGGAGGAAAGACAAGGTCTTTCCCAAACTTCTTTGGTTCCTAACCACGGGGTATATGCTGGCATTCATGTGAAGGACCCACCACCACCACATGTGAAGGGAATACACCGCCTTCCCTCAGTTACTCCTTAATTCACCCCACAGCCGTTTGCTCTGTACACTTTTAGGCCAAAACTTACTACAAAGCTCAAAGAGGCAGCCTAATTCCCTGCGTTTGTCCAGCAAACGCCGGAACCGCCTCACAGAACCCCGTGAAACGCTACGAACCGGCGAAGCAGCGACCCGGGCAGCGGCCGCGGACCCCAACCCGCTGCTGGGGTG